GAGGAACCTGCAGTGACAGAGTAGGACTGAGCCCTGTTCTGAGAACTGGGGCTTCTACAATGTTAGAGGTGAGCATTCAACCTAGATCAGCTAATACACTTCCAGGTAATTAAATCTCAAATATCCACATTCCTTGCCCGGTTTGAAAACATCCTGTCTATCCCAAGGCCTCACTCACTGTCAGTAAGTCTCTCCCATCTCGATCTAAGTTTGGAACAATGTCCTTGATCTCCTTCCTTGGCCACCGGGGGAAGCTGCCCTTGTAGTCAGGGAGCTGGGTCACACCAGGCCAGGTCACCTCAGTGGGAGTGCCCAGGGTGCGAAAGATCTGGAAGAGCTGATCGATCTCAGAGTCCCCTGGAAACAGGGCCTTCCTGGTCATCTGGAGGAAGAAAAGAAAAAGCCAGCTCCCACCTTTCCATCAGTTGTGTGCCCTAATTCCTGCTGCAAGCAACCCTCTGTCCCAGCAGGTGCAAACAATTGCAGGGCAGTTACAATGCAGTGATTCTGCCAGGCAGTGGTTGGGAACATCACAGGTGTCTGACTGTTCCCACTCTTGGCTAGCTCCCTCCTGCCTGCCCTGCAGCTCAGGGACTTCGGGAATGAGGAAAAGTGCTATTATACTGTGGGGCTAACCAGAGCTCTTCCAAAGAAAGGGGTCTTCCAAGACCCTTAGGAGATCCATTCTGCCATACCATGAGAGTGCTTGTTCTCTGCAGCCCACCATGGGGACATCTGGAAGAGAGTCCATCTCCTCCCAGGGTCAAAATACTGCAGCAATAAGGCTGAAGCTTTTTGCAAAGAGAGGCATCATGTTTCAATGTACTTGGAACTGCAGCCTTCTGCCAGGCCCCCAAGGTGGTAGATTTCCTTCTGAGGTAAGGACCAGCTAACCCTTAGGGTGTACTTTCCATAAAGGACACCCCAGTACAAGGTGGGAACACAGTATTCTAGATGTTCTGTGTCTCATCCCTCCTTCCCACTGCAGCTGCTTCCTCTGGCTCATGAAAGAGGTTAATTAAACCCATCGTACCATTTCTGCAAAGATGCAGCCTATGCTCCAGATATCCACAGGGGTCGAGTAGTATCTGCATCCCAGCAGTATCTCAGGGGCTCGGTACCACAGAGTCACCACCTGGAAAGGAACCAACAAACAGGCTGTGTCTGGTTTCCCTGGATGAAACCAAAGGCATGGGACCCTCCCTTCTCAGCTGCAATGCAGTGACTGCACAAATCAGAGCATGCTAAAGCCTTGCTGAATTTAGACACTTAAGTGGGATTAACAGAATATTCTTCAACAATGCTCTCTGGAACAATTAAATGTACACTGTGGAGAGAAGGTGAGAGCCCAGCTGGCAGCCAGGCTCCAGTAGAGACAGTCAGCACACCTTGTGGGGATATGGAGGTCCCTTTGCTGCAGGTAAGGTTAAGAGCACATTACTGGCATGGCTGTGCCTCTGTTATGGATGAGCAATTTGTGCTGCTGCTGTTCACCCACTCTGGATTGTGTACCCCACTCAGGGTGCCCCGACACTACCTCATGAGTGTATGTGCGTAGAGGGACTCCAAAAGCTCTTGCCAATCCAAAATCAGCCAGCTTGATTGCTCCTGCTTCGTTAATGAGCAAGTTCTGCGGCTTCAAGTCCCTGTGGATGACTCTGTGCGAGTGGCAGAAGCTCACACCCTGCAGCAGCTGGAAAAGGTAGTTCTAAGGAGAGAAGAGATTTCAGATAAGGCCACGATGAAAACACTTTGAACTCTGGATTGTGTGAACCAATGCACTTTGGATCACTTACAGATCTGAATGGGAAGAAAGCCCTTGTTACAGTGCAACATCAGGCTTATGGGCCACTGCTCAGAGATACACACAAACTGCTGCCACGCACATGGGACAGAGAGACTCTAATCCAGGCACTGTCAGTCCCTTCCACCCACCCATTACAATCTACAAAGGCAATTAGCAACAGATCCCTCCTTTGTTCTGCAGCAAGATTGGCTGGAGAGCCTGGAAACAGCTGGGAAATAAACGTTTCTGAGGAATAGTGCCATGGGGGTTTCCAAGCTGAAATGTTTGAGATCTGGAAGACTGAGGAATCATTTCCAGGCCCAGTCTGAGCAGCTCTGAGATGGCTGTGCCCAACAGAAGGCAGCTGTCCACCCTGTTGGCATCCCTTCCACACTGTACCTTGACCAAGCTTAAAGGAAGCTCTCCTGCTTGGCATGAGTCCATGTATTTCTTCAGGTCCTGATTCAGGTACTCAAACACCATATAGAGCTTCTTCTGGCTGTGTATGACATCCAGGAGCCTGTAAAAGAAGTACAGGCTCTCCCTTCAATATCTGCTCCAGGCCTCTGCAAATACCCAAACATCTCTCCTCCCACACATGCCTCTGCTCTGTTGGTTCTTTGGAGAAGAGAGGGGCAGTTTAAGGTCAGAATCTAGTATGGGGCAGCAGCAGTGTGCTGCTGAAGTGGCAGACCCATGAGGTATTGCTGAAAGCCAGGGAAGCGCAAGGGATTCCTGCATTTTCCTGTGTATTTTGACCCTGCCTATGCAGTTGGGGAAGGACAGAAAAACCCCCTTGCTGTCTGCTCCTGGAGCAGGAGCTCATGGATGAGCTGGTGGGGAGGATGCATCCAGGTCTTACCTGACTATGTTAGGGTGCTTCAGCTCCTTCAGCAGTGAGATTTCTCTGATTGCAGTGCTGGGGACACCCTCTGACTCCCTGTGGCAGAGACAGGCTGTACTGCACCCCATAATCCAGGGGGATCCCACAGCCCGATGGGGCTCTGTGTCCCTTCCTTCTTCCACTGTACCCCAAGGGAGCATTTGAGTTTGGGGTGGAGCAGTGGCTGGGGCGAGGCAGGGGGAAATGGAGTCATGGGCAAGGAGAGGGAGGGGATGACCTAGACATGCAAGCTGTGAGGCAGAGCTTGGTTGGAAGCACCTAAGGGTGCATTTAGAGAAATAATAATGTATTAAATACTTAGGTCTTTCTTTTTGGAGATGAGGGAAAATGAAAGCTCTTTGTCCTTTAGGCAGCCACCTTCCCCACTCTGAGGGGCCACCATGGGGTGCAACCCCAGCACATTGGCCCCAGTCCACACAGACACCCCTCACTGTGCACACAGCTCAGGGCTGGCCCAGGGGATCAGCAGTAAGATTTTACCTGCTCAGTCCCACCCTGGAGGGCCGAGGCTGACCCTGCCTGACCCTCACAGCACAGCCCTGAGGGAGACACTACCTCATAACATGGCAGCTCCTTCCCCCTGCCCTGTGTCCTGGACCCAGGGCCAAGAGGTGCCAGGTCAGGCCCTAAATACTTGCACTCAAAGATTTTGAGCTGCTGGCTCAGCAATGGGTTAAATCAGCCCTTTTTTAGGTCACCTGAAAGTTGGGATCATCCCTGGGGACTCACACAGATGCCATGTCCATGAGACACGGAACCCCCAAGACCTGCAGCCAACATTCCCTTTGGCTCTGCCTTTCCTGGTGCCACAACCCCTAAGATTATTTTCATCCTAGAGACACCTTTTCCCCCCCTCATGTCAGGCTTTTTTTGTGCCTCTCACACCATCTTGGGCACAGGCCTGGCGCCATGGCAGGCCCAGGCCTTTGCCCCACTCACGCGTCCAGGCGGATCTTCTTGAGGGCCACCAGCTGCCCCGTGCGCTTGTTGCGAGCCTTGTACACCACGCCATAGGTGCCCTCCCCGATCTTCTCCACCTTCTGGAAGGAGGCCTGGATGGCCTCCATGGGGCTGCCTCAGCCTGGTGCTGGCAGTGGGGGCGGCCGGCACCGCGCTCTGAGGGGAGCACAAAAGGCGGGAAACCAAAAGGTGAATGTGGGGAAAGTGTTGGAGCCCCCCAGGTGCACCCTGAGGTGCTGCTGGGGTCTGGTCCCACCTTGTTGCTCCTTCAGCCTTGAGGGAGCCCTCAGGGACCTGCGTGGGGCAGCTCTGAGTGGCCAGGGCAGCCTGGAGGGGTCTGGGGTGGCCAGGGAGCTTCAGGTGGACAGAGCCACACAGGAGCCACCAAGGGTTGGTTGTTCTGTTGCCCAGGTTGTGCAGTGTGCTGGCTACAGCCAAAAATTGATGGAAAAGAGAAGTTGATGTAAACTTTAGGGCCTAGGGAAGAGCAGCATGAACTGCTCAGGGTTAGGGGAAGCTCTCCTGCTCCATCTGCACAGTGCTGGGCACTGGTGGAATAATTGGGTTCATAATTATGGTTCTCTGGGACACACTGAGGGCAAACACCCAGCAAAAATCTTTTTTCTTCCCCCCGCTTTTATTTTGTCTTGCACAATTGTCCCTTGAACCTCCCCAATATGGGCTGTGCTGCTCAGTCAGCCTTTTGGGAGATGTCCTTGAGGGGGAATTAATCATTGACTTGATAGCTGACAGAAGACTAGATTAAAATAATCTTATGTATTATGGCACCAGGAAAGGCAGAGGCAAAGGGAATTTCATCTGGAGGATTTGGGGGCTCTATGTCTCTGGGTAGACATAGACATTGCAGTGGTGTGGGTCCACAGGGAATACCCCAACTTTCAGGTGACCTAAAAAAGGGCTGATTTAACCCATTGCTGAGCCAGCAGCTCAAAATCTTTGAGTGCAAGCAGAAAAGGCTGGAGATGGCTGCTGTTCCCCTGCAAACCACAGGCACAGCTCACTCCAGATTTAGGGATTTCTACAGTACAGGAGAGTCTTCTCTCCTTTGCACAAACATTGATTCTTATCTGACATTGGCAATGTTCTGTCCTTTTGTCAATGCTTTAATACAGCTGTGTGGGCCTGGCACCTGTTCTTCAACCAGAGTGGCTCTGATGTAACTTCATCTCCTTTTCTTGCAACTTTTTTAAAGCCAGCCACTTCCATACACACCCAGTACTTAGGAGGAGGAAAACCGAATTTTCTTACATCATCTCTAGGGTTTGTGCAGGGCCTAACACATTTGACTTGGCAAGAAAGAGGGATTTAATCAGTAAAAGACAGACTGCCTTATTTTTTCATCTTTATTTAGGAAAATTTCAATCAAAATCTTTAGATACTTCAAAAACAGTGATTTAAGGTCTCTTAAACTTAGTTGTGTCAAGGAAGAAAGTCAAGTACTCAGGGTACTGCAAATATTTATTTTAGAGCTAGAATTAATCCTCCCCTTAGATACCAGTTCTTCCTACCTGAGAAAGCAGGTACTACTGAAAATAAGGACTCTTTGTTCTTCTTGTTTCTTTGGTCAATTCAGATACATGAGTGTTTTGCCAGGAATGTTCCTGTGTGGCAGCTGAGTCAGGGTGCTCCAACACAGGCACTCATGGGCCCTGCAGCCAGGCAGGGCTAACGAACTTTGTGCTAATGCCTTTTGCCCCCATCTGCCAAAGGTGAGCTGCTTAACTCAGATTCAGAGACTTCTTCTGACTTCATGTCATGCATTAAGAAAGGACTAGTATAAACCCAAGTGATCCCTTTCCTTAACCACCCTTTCAAGCAAACAACAAACCTGCTTCCCAGAGCTATTTTCAGTCATGACACCTGGGGCAGGACTGTACAGCCCACAGCCACACGCATTGACTCAGAGTCCTCAAGTGTTTCCCTGCTCAGTTTGCTATTTGCCACAGCAAACACACCTCCTAATTCACTTTAAACATATTTTTTGCAAATAGTGCAAGGGCCAGCGTGTGGCTGGTCTCAGAGCTGCTGTCAGGATGTGCTGTTTTCCCTCTGTTCCTGCCTCTCATTGAAGTATTTCCTCTGCTCCTGTATGGCTTGTTCCAGCAGGGGCACGTTCAACCCTTCCACGCAGGTCAATATTCGTGCTTTTACCACAGGACTGGAAGTTTCTGGAGAAAGGAAAACAGAGCAGCTTGGAGACAAGAGAGTTCCCCCAGGCAACATGACTCGAGCTGGGCAAATAACCATAGCCTGAGAACTTCAGGAGACCAGACGGGCTGCATGCTGCCACTGATGTGAGCAGCAGGAGCAGCTTAATTCAGTGACGTGTTTTCCCTCAACCCTGATGGTTACAAAATGCTGGTGACTGACACTGCACTCACTCCCCTTGCACTGGGGAACAGTGTCAGTGCCTGCCATGCCATGCAGCATCACTTTGGTTTTCCCTGTCAGAAAAGCAGCAGTGGTGGATCTGAGCTAATTTCTGAATGCCCCTGAGCAGACAAGAGGGCTCAGAAGAGGTTCAAAGCTGGCTACAACCAACATTGGCGGCATTCAAGTGACAACATGGAGCTACACAGAAGCGACCAAACCTTGGTGACATAGCCCTGGGTGACACAGCCACCATCTCAGTCTGCTCCCCTTTCACCCCTGCAAAATGGGGCCAACTCCCTCCTAGGCTGGGATGACCAAAATAACAATTTTCTACAGGAGTTTTGCAGCAGTGGCTTAGCAGGTCACTCTCTAGAGGCCATGTGTAGTGTGGTTTTCCATGTGCCACTGAAGGCTTCTACGGCATGAATGCAAATGCTTTTTATCAGGTGTGGCCAAGATAACAAAGAATTTGCTTCACCATCCCAAGGCCCAGCTCAGATCAAATCCCCACGCAAAGCACCAAGCAGCTGGAACACAGGGTGCCCCAGGAAAGGACAACAGGGTGCCCTGCATGACAGAGCCTGCCTGCATTCCTCACATGTCTGAGGGTAGGGATAATAATTAGAGCCGTTCAAGGATGGCAAAGAGCAACCCAGCCACTTGCAATGACGTATTGCTGCAATCTGCCATGTTTGGGGTGAAGATGATTGGTGTGGTGGCTGGCAGCGATGCCAGAAGGTTTCTTAGCACAGATTTCACAAGCTCAGCAATGCTGCTGAAATGCTTCTTGTTTCTAAAAATTCTGTGCCAGAGGACCAGATTTTCACCAGCATAAGGGTGGCTCTTCTCATGGTCAGCAGGGACAGACAGCTGCTCCTATCTTGAATCACATGCTTGTGTGACTGGAGGAGCTGCACAAGAGGAGCCTTGACCCAGGCTGCCTTCAGTGACCCAGGGAGACCCGAAAGAGTTGATGCACCATGAAGAGCAGCAAAGGGCACCAGCTCCTGCAGCACTTACCTTCCCTGTGTTCAGCCTCTCCCAGGACCATGTAGAAAGATCCCACTTGGGCTTGGAATGGCTCCACAAACTTGGTGTCAACACAGACTTGGTACTGAGCCGAGTTGTGCTGTGTGGTGAGAATGGCTTCAGATCGGGTCAGATCATAGCAGCTTAACCTGGGGACGATCAATTTGGGAAACTCAGCTGTTCAGAAATCTAATTACAAACCAAAGGGGGGTGGTGCTTAGCCAGTGAGGGAAACACCTGGCCTGCAAGGAGACCAGGGTACCCTTCTCACCTGCCAAATGTCCTCAGTGTCTTCCCCTCAGGGACTGAGCTGTCGATCTCCCACGGGAAGTAATAGACACCAGCACTTGGCAGCATCTCACACAGTGGCTGACCTGCAGTAAAGCAAAAGGTCTGACTTCATGCTTCTCCAGTACCTGATCCAAATTGTCAGTAACACTGCCCTTCAACTCCCTCCTTGCCCAGGTTCCACCATCCAGGAGGCTGCAAAAGCTTCACAGCTTCCCTACTGAGTCCTATTTGAAGCTCAGTGCATGTGCCAAGCCCAGGGCACCCTGGCACAAAGATGTCTAGTCCTACAGAACCCAGCATGAACGACAGGCAGCCCACCAGGTCCTCTGAGTCTCCCCCAGGCTATGGACAAGTTGAGAAAGGTTAAGGAAGTGGGGAGAACGGTGACTGAGCAGTTCAGAGAGTTTGAGGGACTGAGATGCCTGGATAGCCTCAGCTGCTGGGATTGACAGAGTACTAGCAGCAAGATTTAAGGAATGATCCTGAGCCTGTTCTCTTACTGCAGCATAAAAACTTCTGGTGGTATCTGATCCTGCAGCTGGAGAACAATAAATTGGATTCAAGCCAGCCTGGTTTCGTCAGAAGTCTCGTAGGGTTTAGCAGACAGCGATGAGTGAGGAGGATTAACTCCAAGACAAGACTCAGGTGGGACTTCCTACGGTAGAGCAGGGCTGGCACAGGCAAGTCAGGCACAGCACAGAGAAAGGCAGGAATGCAAAGCAGTTTCAGCAAAGCTCTAATCCTGCCCAATCAACGTCATAGCCAGGCTGTGCCCTGAAGGGGATTTTTTTGGCATAATTTTCCCTCTGATCTCCCTTGCAGTCTGCCTGTGTTTGGAGTATTTCCATATATTATTTACAGCTTTTCTCTTCTTTCTTTTATGTCTCTGTGGGGGACCCTGAGAGCTGCACAACAGCCGAGGCAGGGACTCCTGCCACTCAGATAGGTGGGTCCATTGCTGGGTGTTCAAGGACCCCCCATACTGACTACTCAGCAGAGGTAACACTGAGCTGACACACACGCTGTGCCTTTAATGTTTGGTGTCCCTTGCCCACGGGGTTGCAACCTTGCAAAATGCCCCATGGAGGACTCCGTGGGAGGCCGCCGAAACCAGGGCGATCCTGGATTACTTCGTCCCTGCACATGCCTCTCTCTCTGCCTGCTGCCCCACAGTCCCGTGCCAGGCTGTGGACACTCAGACCGCGCTGAAAAACCCCTCTGGCAGGGTCCCAGGGTGGGCTCCAGAGGTGGAAATCCACCTCCCCTCCCTTGCAGCTCCGTGCATCCCCGCCGCACCCAACATTTAAAAAGCAGGGTCAATTCTGCACCTCCAGAACGGCAAAGCCTGTCCTGTACCGCTCGGGTTTTGCTCCTGAATCACATTGTGCGACAAGGTAGATCAGCCAAGGTCGCAAGACACTCATTGTGCACTTAATGCACTTTTTAATATAGAGAGTAATTTAGGTTGTAAAAGCCATACCCCAATCGCCACATACCCTGTGCCCACCCAATGTGCTACCTAATGCATGCGCCACCTCCACTGCGGGACCTTGCAGGGAGATTTATGGCAGGCCCACCCCCAAGCGCAGCCCTTTACACGCAGATCCAGAGCACTATCCAACACCGCATTCAACGCGTATCCAACGGCATTTAATGAGCTGTTTGTATCATTAACTACTCCATGCCGATGCCGCACGTGCCGGGCACTCTCCCGGCGCCGCTCCATGCAATCACAGCGCGATTTAAGGCACCGCTCCCAGCGCGGCTGAACAGCGCTCACCGCTCCGCCATCGCCTCCCGCGGGAAGGGCGGGCACGGCCAGGGACCCACGTGGTCAGGAACCACGTGGCGTCGCGGGAGTGACGTCACGGGGGGCGGTGCCGGCGCTGGGGTCGGGAGGGGACCTGGATCGGGATTAGGATTGAGATCGGGATCGGGATCGGGATCGGGATCGGGATCGGCAGAGCCGCCGCTGCGATGTCGGTGAACGCGGACCTGCGGAGGGAGCGCGCCGCCGCCACCTTCCAGGCCGAGCTGCTCACCCACATCCTGGACGGCGGCCCTGAGCGCACCCGCCGCCGCAAGGAGATCGGTGAGGGAGGGCCCGGGCCGTGGGGACGGGGAGAGACAGCCCCGGCCAGGGCTCGGAGGGTGGGAAGGGAGAGGCTGCGTGGTGGGGGAGACCCAGGGGGCACCTCCGGAGACGGGGAGAGCGGCGTACAGGGCGGGGGTAGCGGGGTGAGGAGCCTCGGGGGACGTGAGGGACGACCAAGTTGTGAGGGGTTTGTGGGGCGGGAAAGGGTTTTTGAGAAGCGAGAAGAGCCCAAAGAGAGGGGAAAGCGGTGAGGAGAGGGTTTGTGGGTGGAGGGGATTAGAGAGGAACAGGAGCCGCGTTACGTCCCTGGTCCTCCTGTTTTCCCTAGAAAGGATTTAGGGTGACCCTGACAGAGCAGTGTCCTTTACTTTGTTTCCCCTTCCTCCGGAGGGTCAGAGGCGGCTCTCCATGGGCATTTCTCATGGGCTCTGTCCCCTCCTTTTTCCTCCCTAGCATGCTCTTGCCCAACAGTACAAATGTCATCTGTTTGTCACCCGGCACGACGTGGTTATGAGAGATTAATGAGCTACTTCCAGTCTGTTCCCTGGGCTGGGGCTGCCAGAGGCTGGTGTTGTGTAACTTCGGTGCCAAAGGGGGGACACACAAAGCCTGTGGTCTCTGGGCACTTCGTCTTTCAGCGGCACAGTGGGAATAATAGCTGTGCCCTTCTGCTGGAATTACGTGGGGATCAGAGTTCACAAGGCTGCCTGAGCTCTGAGGTTGTTGCTGCAGGTCCTCCATCAGTGAATCGCCCTCCTGCCAAGTCCAGAGTGCCTTGAACTGGAAATGGGGTTTATATGCGGAATGAGAGTGCCGCCAGCTGAGCTCGCAAAGAGCTTTGGTTTCTTTCTCATTTTATTAACTTCTGATTTTATTTTCAATTTTCTGATACCTTGAGGTAGAGCAGGTAAAATGCTGGGTCGTTGTTTACCTCCTGCTGAGGTTTGTGGAAACTGAGCTTGTTTTCCTCTTTTGTTCTGTCCCCAGAGGCCTTAGTTCTTAATGACCCTGACTTCCAGCATGAGGATTTGAACTTCCTGTCCCGTAGCCAACGCTATGAACAAGCCATCAGGAAGAGTTCCTTGATGGTGATGAAGCTAAGGGAATATGGAATTGCAGATCCCGAGGAGATCTACTGGTTTAAAAGGTACCTAAAAAGATCCAGAGTTTGCTTCTTGTGCTTCAGTCATCACCAAGGGTGCTAGGGTTGTGCTTTTTTCCTGTGTTTGTTGTCTATAGGAAGCTCAAGACCTGAATAATAGCCCACTCAAGTCTGACTTCTGTGAATGTCAGATGAAATCCTGAATTCCTGAATGTTATGTTTTCTTAATTTTTGTTTTTAAACAGAAATGCAATATTAGCTATTATGCCCTGTTCTTTACGTATGGTGCAGAAACCAAAAACTCAGAACTTGAAGTCAGGTTTTTTTTTCAAAATGAATAAAAAAATTATACTGAATTATTTTGAATCTGAATAGATCTGATGAGTTTGGGGCTTCTAAACTTCTAATGAAATCTCTAAAAGCTGATTACTTCACTTTGCACTTAGACCCAGTAAAGTCACATTGCAGGGATACTTGAAAATATTCCAAGATGGCTTATAAGTTCTTGTTTGTAATTGTTTATTCTGTGTCCCTTCTCTAAGCTCCTGATGCTACAGAAGTTCTTTGACCCAGAGGCTTTTTGTTCTATCTGACCTTTGGTTTGTCTGATAGTACCAACTTTGGATCAAGTTAATGAAAATAAGACTGTCTTTACATTTGAGTTTTCATTCCTTCTAGAGGGAATTAGAACTCAGTTCTTGATTTTGATGCATTTCTCCCCCTAATTCTGTTAAACTCTGTGATTTAGTCAAACAGAAGCTGATAACAGAGAGATTACACAGATGTAGAAATCTATCATAATCCCATGGATATATCCTCTGGCACATTAAATAATCAATCACAAGCCCTCTCTGACTGGTTTTGTAGAAAAGCTGTCATGGGACCCAGGGCATCACCATTGGCACTAGGAAATTGAAATAATCTTGTCCACTGTGGTTTTACTTTCAGAGAAACTGGTCTACACTGACCTGTGTCATGACAGTTCTTGTGGAAGTAATGTAAATAATTTGAAAATTATCATTAGTGGACAGTGATAACAGGGAACAAGTTCAGTGACAGTAGTGGGTTATTCAGGTACTGCACAGCCAAGTTAATAATTAATTTTTTTCCTACACAAGGTTTATTCAAAGTAAGAGGGAAGTTTCTTCAGTTATTTATTTATTTCTACAGAGAAAATTCAGCAAAGTCTATCCAGTCTATCAGATGGAAAATTTTAACAAATTTTCTGTCTTTTTTTAGCATTAATGACAATATTATATGAAAACAAACTTTTCTGAAGTAGTCAAGTGAGAGATTCTAGTTTTACCCTTCCATAAACTTACACTGGAGTCAGCAATTCTGAAGTGGATGAAAGTGTAACATTTCATACAGATACCAATAGTGCCTCCATATCTAGTGTGACATGAATGATCAGGTGTGACTAGTCAGAATTCACAGTCCAAAACCAACTGGAAGGCTTATTTTTTCCAAGGTAAAATCTAATTGCAGCCATTCAGGATTTCAAAATATAATTGCAGTTACTGTAGACTGACTGTATTTGCCATTTTTTATTTCTTTTATATACCACATTTATTCTGTAATAACATGTAACAGAATGAAGAGCAGTGCATAAACTTCTTGCCTACAGGTGAAGTGTGTTTGCTCTAAGAACTGTACACTGTTAATATTCTGAAATGTCTTCTTTACTATAATGTGTGGTGTTGGCAAGGGAGGATGTGGGCTTGCTGCTGCTTAAAACATGGATGAAATGAAAGGATTGTTTTCTCATCCTTTGATTTCATTTGCATTTTAACATCTGTCCTCACTTTCCCACCTGTTGAGTGTTAAATATTTTTTAAATTTGGTGAGCTGCACCCAACTGACAAAATTATGTTTATTTTTGTCCCATATCCAAACATGCTAATTGGTGCTAACTGGAAGTGACTTCGTTAGTGTAAAAGCTGACCTGGAGAAAGTGTGTTTGGGCTTACTCATTTTTCCAAACTGAAAGCTGAATGGATATGGTGTTGCAACATGCCTCGAATGAAGTTTATGAAATAGACTGATGCCCTTGATTCAGATGTCAAGTTCTATTATTGTGATTGACATTTCTACTTATGGAAGCTTAAGAAATTTTGTCACTTATCCCCAAAAGGCAGGGACAGATTTACACAGGCAATTTTGAAGCATTTTTTCCTGTAGGTTTCCTAAAGTGACAAAACATCTCTAGGTAGCTTTGCACATGACTCAACAACTTTATAGCTTGATTTATGAGTAGGTGAGGAGAAATGCTGCTTCCTTCACTGCCCTGAAGATATACTTAAACAATTGCTGCTGCTGCTGTGACATGTCCAAGTGAATGCTCCTCCTTCCTGTTTCCAAAGGGCTTTGTTGGACTCCAAATCATGAGGCTCTATTAAATATAATTAATTGCTTTTCATGTAGCAATTCTTCTATGTCCACACTGCAGTTGCAGCTGTTGTGACTACAGCTTTGAAGGCCATCAGCATAAAAGTGCCAGTATTTCAGATTTCTTTTACAGTCTTAACTGCAGCAAAATGTAAGTCAGCATGAAAAATGGGAAATGTTTCTGGTGTAATGCTCCAACACTCTTGGAAGAGAGCGAGCTGCTCAGTTTTAATTCACCTTCAACTTTAATTAACCTTCATTGAGGAAAATGGGATTAAATAAAGAAGTGAAAAAACAGTTGAGACAAACTGGGTCACGGAAGAAGAGAAGATTTGAGAGCTGCTGGTCACCAGATGATTCCTGTGTTCATGAGCATTGCATGAGTGTGCACTTTCCCTGTTGGAATTTGTTCTTACATCTCTAAATTTGGACCTGGAGTAGCTTTGAGCAAATCAAAGTAGAAAAACTCTGCTATGGGCCCTACTTGCCACTGCTAAATTAATGCCGAGTGGATGAGTCTGGCTTGATCTTACTTTGATACAGCTGGAACAGGAGCTCATTGCCATAGCACTTGTTAGCTCTGAAGCCCACTTAGCACAGCTCAAACACAGCTCCTGCTCCTTCTCCACTGGGATGACCCTTCCTGCCCGTCCGTGAGAGAGTTACTTCAAGAACTGCACAAAACAGAAAAGTTTGCACACAGACTAAATGTAAAGTAAATACCCCTGTTCTGTGACCCAGTTCTGCAGCCTGAGAGTGGCTTTGCAGTTGTTCCTGTAGCTTTGTGAACACACAGACTTTGCTTCTGTCGTCCTTGTGCACTCTGAGACAGTGACACACCTGTCACATAAGTGCCTTTTACTGTGTGGGTGGCACTGGTTGCTGTGAAATCTGAGAAGATCTATATTGCCAAAGCACATATTACTACACAGCCTTCTCCCAGAAGTGGATTTGGAGTTGCAGCCTCATTGTGACATTGGTTGTTATAGCAAGGCTGATTTCAGAGCAGCTGGTCATTGATCAGATGGTCACTGCCACCATCAGTCTTGATGGAGCAGAGTATCTGAACACTTCAGCCTTTGGAGAACAGCCAATCCAGGTGCTGGGAGTGTTGAAATTGTGATGGGAAGCAGTAAGAGTTCAGAGAAAGGAAAAGAAGAGGAGAAAACCTGTTGTTCCTCCCTTCACAGCTGGTGCCTCTTCTG